CAGTGCAGGCCGCAGGGAGGTATAGAGCCGCAGTTCAGGCCGCAGGGAGGTATAGACCCGCAGTGCAGGCCGCTGGGAGGTACAGGCCCTCGCTGCAGCAGCAGGTACCATCAAGAGGCAGCTGTAGCGAGACTGTGCACAGGGACAGGCAGGCAGCTCACAGACTAGGCCAGGCTGCATCTCTGGCCTGGTCACTCACTCCCTTAGCACTCCCTCAGTGAGCACCCACCTGCATCCTCCCAGCAGCATCCCCACCCTGCCCTGCCTTGCCCCCTTTGCCCACTGCACCTCCCGCCCAGCCACCCTGCCCTGCCCTGCCTTGCCCTGCCCTGCCCTGCCCTGCCCTGCCTTGCCCTGCCTTGCCTTGCCCTGCCTTGCCCTGCCTTGCCCTGCCCTGCCTTGCCCTGCCCTTCCCTGCCTTGCCTTGTAAATCAGTGCGATCAGTGAACCAAGCAGCATGCCTTGCTGCTGCAGCAGTCCTCGGTCAAGGGGGAGTGTGACGTCAGTCTCACCCCTGCACCTTGTGCCAACCCTCAATCTACCTCCCCTTCCACCAGAACCTCCAGGTCCCTGTTGGGGAACCATCTTCCCCTTCTCCAACATCTTCCAATCCTGTCTCTCAATGAGCATTGACCGTATGAAGATGGTGTGATTGGAAGGGGTGCTGGTCATGTGGTGGATATCTGCTGTGTGGTGAATTGTCCTGGGATCAGCCAATGGTAACCCAGGCGGGATTCGATGTAACGGGCGGCATGGGTGGGTAGTAGTCATTTATCGTTCACAGGATATGGGTGTCATTGGCTGGGCCAGCATTCATTGCCTGTCTCCAATTGCTCAGAGTTGAGAGTCAACCCTTTTGCAGTGGGACTGGAGTCACATGTAGTCCAGACCAGATAAAGAAGTCAGATTTCCTTCCTTAAGGGAGATTATTGTACCTGATGGGTTCTTACAACAAATAACAACGGTTTCAGGTTCATCATGATGCCAGTTCTCTATTTCAGATTTTATTGAATTCAATTTTTAACCATCTGCCTTGGTGGGATTGAAACCCATGTCCCCCAAAACTTTAGCCTGAGGTTCTAATGACATTACCACTACTACCACCACCTCCTCAACAATAACACTCTGAGCTTAAGTTACAGCAAGAAATTTCACTGGGGCCTTGCAGGAGAAATCCCTCCAAAACTCAGCGCAGCTCAGACTTAGCCAAAAGGAAACTGTCAGGTTCAGGCAAGTATCACTGGTAGGACGGCACTCCCTCAGTAATGCACGGGCAGTCTCAGCCTCAATTTTGTGCTCAATTTTCCAATTCTCAAAGTCAGATGTAAGAACACAACCATCTAAGGCCAAGGCTAAGACAATGAGCACAACCCATTAGCTCAACATTGCTGCTGTCTATTACTTCTCAAGGCAGTGGCGTTTTGGAGTTTGGTTGATGTATTCCTTTCCAGAAGAACTGCAGCAGGACGGTTAATAACAGAAACCCTTTTCTCGCTACTGCATCTGGAGATTACACCATCTGTGCTCCATTTGTTACTGCTACAGCGAGGGCATTTATGGCCTGAAATCCAGAATTTCTTATTTTGTTTCATGGTCATTAGTGGGCAAGACAGAAAGAGAAAGGGAGAGGTGAGAAAGAAATTTTTAATGGTGCTAAGCAGACTGAGTGTGTAATTGATGGTATCATATAATTGCAACAACAGCCTTCATTTATATCATTACTTTAACACAGCGAAAACACCCTGAGTGCTTCAGTGGCTACAGTAAGACAGCTAACATTCATCCTCGAGTTAAAAAGTGGGATGGATTGTTACGCAGAGAACTACATCCCCGTTAGTTTCACATCAGTGATCAGAATCTTTGTTTCAAGACATCACAGAGAAACGTCTGGAAACTGCTCATTTAGCTAAGGTCTTTTACCCAGCGTGGGGGAGTCCAAAACTAGAGGGGCATTGGTTTGAGGTGAGAGGGGAAAGACTTAAAAGGGACGTAAGGGGGAACATTTTCACACAGAGGGTGGCGTGTGTATGGAATGAGCTGCCAGAGGAAGTGGTGGAGACTGGTACAATTACAACATTTAAAAGGCATCTGGATGGGTATATGAATAGGAAGGGTTTAGAGGGATATGGGCCAAATGCTGGCAAATGGGACTAGATTAATTTAGGATATCTGGTCAGCATGGACAAGTTGGACCGAAGGGTCTGTTTCTGTGCTGTACACCTCTTATGACTCTATCTAACAAGGAGGAGTCTGCATTCAAAGTCAGGCTTGGTCAACTGGACTTAATTCTTTGAAGAAATTACAGAAAGCAGACAGCAACACAATGTAACTTCCTTAGATTATCATGAAGCCAGTGATAAAGTACTGCATTGGCAAACAGTTGACTAAGAGCAGTCTATGTGGTGCAGAATGGGGAGTAAGCAAACTACAAATCCAAATGCAGAGTGTGGGTTACATACAAAATAGCCTGAAGTTCATAGAATCATAGAATCCCTACAGTGTGGAAGCAGCCCATCGAGTCCACGCCTGCCCTAAGGGAGGCATTATTGCATCCAGATCAATACCAGGATCATTGATCTTCACACTTTAGGGAATCTGAGATGCTTTTTCTAAATCTGCCGACAGCATCAAATTTTGTGGAAGGCAATTAATGAAAAGGAAAAACAAAGTAGCAAAACACAAGAATACATAAATAAACTTTGCAGGACGAGTGTGTGATTGATGAAGGTATTGCAATATCAGTAAGTGCGGGGTGGAGTGTTTTGTTTGGAAAATTAAGAAAGCCATGGTCTCAGTTAAATGAAGCTTAAAAGCAAAGAATCTAAGGGTACAGAAACACAAATCACCACTCAAAAGTGACACAGGCTCCATACAAGTCGACAAAACAATTGGGGTTCATTTTGACAGGGATAGACCTGGGAATAGCTCGTGTTGTAGAGCAGTGGATAGTGTCCCGCTCTGCTCCTGAAGCTTTGAGTTTGAGTCCCCCTCCAGGTTGTCAAAGATGCATTTATTGCCCGTCCCTAATTGCCCAGGGAGCAGTTGAGAGTCAACCATATTACTGTGGGTCTGGAGACTTGGTAAAGATGGCTAGTTTCCTTCCCCACAGGATGTTAGTGAACCAGCTTGCTTTAAAACAGTGAATTATGTGATTGCTTTTAACATTCCAGATTATTTACTGAACTTAAGTTTCACCATTTGCTGTGGTGGGATCTCAGCCCATGAACAGCAGACTCGGGCTGGGAGTGGTTAGTCCAGTGATCTTACCATCCCCTCCATACTGCCTAGCTGAATGGTATCATTATATTTAGGGGAATCTGGATTAACACATGATGGAGAAAGGAAGAGAAGATATTGGCTGTGTGAGATGAAGAAGATTGTGGGAGAAAGCTCATGTTGAAGAGGCTTCTGTTGAGCAGAAGTATGAAGGGACGTGAGCCAAAAGCAGGTGTATGGAGTCAGACTACAGACCAGCCATGATCACATTGAATAGTGAAATAGGTTCAAGGGGCTGAATGGCCTACTCCCGTTCCTATGTTTCTTTGGTATCAGTATTACCTGTCCCGCGCTCCCACTCCCCCTCCCCTGGGAGATGCCGATAGGGTGAGATGAAGTAAGGTACAAAGAATCTTGAGGAGCATAACAGCAGCCTTGTCCACAGAAGACAAATGGCCCGTTTCTATCCAGCTGATTCAAGCATTATCAGAATGGGAGATGGTTAACTCAGTTGGCTTGACAGAAGGTCTGCAGTACAGAGCAATACTCACAGTGTGGGCTCAGTTCCCACACTGGTTGAGGTTACTATGAAGGGCTCTCCTTGTCTATAGTGTGGTGACCTTCAGATTAAGCCACCATCAGTTGTGTCTCTCTCTTGTGAGAGAGTAAGGCCACTGCGACTTCATACCAGATCAAAAATTAATCATCTCTTGTCTTCAGTGCAATTAGGACTGTGCTGTGACTGGTTGACTCAGACCGTTATCACAATGGGTTAATCATGCATTATAGCAGTGACTGTCCTTCAGAAGTAGCTGCAGAGAGCTTTGGGAGATCCCAAGGTTGTGAAAAATGAGTTATGGAAATGCAAGTTGGCTTTTATTTCTTCTTTCTTTGTACTTGACATGTTTTTCTGGCTCAAGTGGGGTTATTCTAATCTTAGTCATGATCAAAATTTGAATCACATCAAAGATTTCAACACTTGATTTTCTATGGAAAACATAGGCTGTATCTTTTCAATTTGAGTTCTGAATCTTAGAATGAAAGAGATTGGGGCAAGATAACTATTGGCATTACAGTGTTTAAAGATTTTTGACCATCCTCTGAGTTGAGATATGCAGTCATGTGGTTTGAAAACTGAACTCTAATATTTTGATTGGATTCATGAGGAAGATTAGAACTGATTCATGCAAAGTAAATATCCTGTGGAAGAAACGTACTGACAAGAAACTTAGGGAAAAAGGATACTTTCATTCTCAGTTCCATTTCATGTTCTGTAAATCTACAAGTGAACCTGCTGGGCATTTATCAGCAATCCCTGTATTTATATAATACTTGATTTTTAGACCCAACTGTTATGCTCCTCAAGATTGTTTGTACCTTACTTCATCTCACCCTATCAGCATCTCCCAGGGGAGGAGGAGTGGGAGTGCGGGACAGGTAATACTGATACCAAAGAAACATAGGAACGGGAGTAGGCCATTCAGCCCCTTGAACCTGTTTCACTATTCAATGAGATGTACACCAGCTCAGACTGTCTGTAATTTGGAAATGATATGCATCAGTTGAATTTTGTTGAGTCGCCGAAACATGCAACACTGAAGGCTATTCAACCCCATATGCCAATGCCAGCCCTTTGAAAGGGCTCTCCGTTTGGTTCCAATCTGCTCATTTATGTTCACTGCAACCCTGTGCAAATAGTCCACCCTTTGTGTGTTACATTCATTCAGCGTTGTCTCCTGATGATTCTGAATCACATTTCTGTCCCCTCTTTTTGCACACGGCAGGACCCCTGCAATGATTGGCTGTTCGTTTGTGGTTCATCGCGAGTACTTTGGAGAAATTGGTCTTCTTGATCCTGGCATGGAGATTTATGGCGGAGAGAATATTGAACTGGGCATGAGGGTAAGTGAGATGTATGCGGCATGTCCAGAGAGGGAAGCGAAGTGAATTGTAGATTTCATACTTCTGCTTGTTATAGAATGAGCACTTTGCAATTGTGCCAACCAATCAAAAGTAATCCAAAAAATGAACACGACTCATTTAGGATCAGTGACCAGTGTACTGAATGGACTGCTAGCTGTGTATTCGAAAACTCATTGAAGTATTGCAACAAGTTACATTTCTCCTCTTTGTGAGTTGTTAGTTTTCCTACTGAAAACAAAAAAATGCTGGAAATCACAGCGGGTCAGGTAGCAGCAGTGGAGAGAGAGCAAGCTAACATTTTGAATCTAGCTGACTCTTCAAAGATGATGAAGAGTCACCTAGACTCGAAACATTAGCTTGCTCTCTCTCCACTGTTGCTCCCTGACCTGCTACGATTTCCAGCATTTTTAGTTTTCAGTACAGGTTCCAGCATCTGCAGTAATTTGCTCCTACACAATGTTATTCCTACTTCTTTTCTATTTCTCGAACTGTTCAAAATGACATGGCTATTGATTGAGTGATAAAACATGGAGGAAGACAGTCCCTTTATTTGAATATCACCATGAGGGAATGGATGAATTCTCGGTTTAAACCACCCTTCCCAATGGTAACAGCACTGACAGTGGTGTACTGGCTCAGTGCCACAAAGACAGGATCACTCAGAGTCATGTGCTCGAGTCGCTGAAATGGGGGGAGGGGGCTCGAACCCACAGCCTTGACACTGAGTCAGAGATAGTAGGAACTGACGATGCTGGAGTCAGAGATAACACAGTGTGGAGCTGGAGGAACACAGCAGGCCAGGCAGCATTAGAGGAGCAGGAAAGCTGACGTTTCGGGTCGGGACACTTCTTCTGAGTCATACTTGACACCTGAGGGGCATTACAGTTTCACTGTCACATTACAGTTTCACTGTCACATTACAGCTTCACTGTCACATTACAGCTTCACTGTCACATTACAGTTTCACTCTCACATTACAGTTTCACTGTCACATTACAGTTTCACTCTCACATTAC